GGCTCACATTTGTTTCATTTCAAATAAAAGTGATTTTGAAAAAGTATGGCAATAGGTTCATAATGTCTACAGCCTACCAATTGTACTCCCCCCAAATTTTAAATACATTATATGGGATAAAAGGGAGTCTGTGGTCAAATAAATTTGAGATGTACTAGATTATTTTCCAAGGTTATAAAGTTATATGGCCCTTTTTACAGAATAGTTTTTGGAACTTATTTTCTAAAGAGGACATGTTGGGAAATGTTTCTGCAAGGGAACTATATATACCACTATAACTTACTGAGCACTTATTTATGTACCACAGTGCATATGTTAAGTCACCTTCACAACTCTAAGGAGTAGACACACTATTGTCACTTCTGTTTTATAGATGAGGAAGTACTTGCCCATCCACTTAACCCAATGAATCTAAATAGTGAACATTTCTGCAGAATGTACATAGAAATCAGACTTTGGAATTTAAGTTTCCCCAAGATTTATTAGAAATACATCGCTAACTAGTAGGAACCCAAGGCCTATGAAATGTGCTGTGATGACACCAAGTTTGCTGATCCACAGCAGGTTTCCACATGTTGAATAACAATTTTGAGAACTCAGCAAGCCCCCCGAGTTATGTATAAATCTCATCTTTAACCCTAATTCCCTCAAACTAATCTGACAACTTCTGGAGATTTTTTCCCCCTGTAAGGTGGAAATGGTTAAGAGCATAAGCTAAAGAAATTGATAGTAAAGGATAGGGAATGAAGTTTAGAAAGGAGGCAATGGAGTTGAGTCAAGCCCATTCACATAAGAGAAAATGGAAGCTGGACTCAGAGGACAAGAAGAACCTTTGACCAGTAATGCCATCTGTTCCTGTGTCCATGTGAGGCTGTGTACCTCAAGTTTCCAGGAAACATGCTGGGTCAGCCAAAACCAGTAAATACAATAGGAATTCAGTCACTTGCACCACACAAGCATACAATCAATACAGATGTTTAGTTGAAGAATTTCTCAAAGCATGAACATGGATTACCTGCAAAGTCATCTAGGTTGTCTGTTCAAAGTGTAAATTCCTGGAGATACCTAGAAAACTAGAACATAATCAGCCTCTGACAATGCAGCTAAGGAATCTGTATGGTAAGTAAACAACTCAGGGCACTCTGCTGTAAGCTCAAGTTTGAGCCTGGAATTAGGCAAGAAAGAGTCCATTACTCCTCCTTTAAATAACAAGAATAACTGTAATATTCTTCAACTACAGTCTGTTTAGAAGACAAAAGAAGAAAGAAATGCTTCAGAATAGTGTATTTGGGCATTCTAATTCAAGTCCCATAGTTGCCCAGGGGACACAACAACTTGAAAATAGTTTTCTCAGGCTTATAGCTTTGGCAGCCATTATCCACGGTCTCATTTCTCCAGCTCAGACACACCTTGTGCTCCATAAGAGAGAACTTCCTTTTGCAGCTGTTTAATGAGAAACCTCCACGGACATACAAGTTATCCTTTTTTGCTCTGTTCTCAAAGCCACATTTCCAAACTTATATAAAAGAGTGTTTGTAATTAAATAACTATAAGACCAGAATGAAATTGAAGTCACAATTACAAATTCATATTTTTAAGTTCAGAAAGCTGTATCTCTAAATATTAACAGTGTTTATCTCTAAGTGGTGGAATTATAAATAGCTTTTATTCTTCATACTTACCAGGTTTTAAGTTTTTTATTATAGTCCTTGGTTTATATTTAGATTATAAAAGTTTTCATTCATAAAAATACTTTTCAAAGAAGGTGGATTTTGACACCTCAGAATAGCATTCTATTCTTTCACGAGCATTTTATTCTATATTTTCAGAAACAGCATTGTATTTCTACTTTTTCATCCTAATGGCAAATAAAGGAGGCAGTTAATCTTAAAAATATGAAGCTGTTCAAAGGACACCACCAGTAGAACAAAAAGACATCCTACAGTATGGGAGAATATATTCATAAATGACATATCTGATAAGGGGTTGACATCGAAATATGTAAGGAGTTCACGCACCTCAACAACCAAAAACCAAATAACCCAATTAAAAAATGGGCAGAGGATATGAACGGACACTTTTCCAATAAGAAATTCAGATGGTGAAAAGGCACACGAAAAGATGCTCCACATCGCTAATCATCAGAGAAATGCAAATTAAATCCACAATGAGATATCACCTCACACCACTTAGGATGACCACCATCCAAAAGACAAACAACAACAAATGTTGGTGAGGATGTGGAGAAAGGGGAACCCTCCAACACTGCTGGTGGGAATGTAAATTAGTTCAACCATGTGGAAAGCAGTATTTAGGTTCCTCAAAAAACTAAAAATAGAAATACCATTTGACTTAGGAATTCCACTCCTAGGAATTTACCCTAAGAAAACAGGATCACAGATTCAAAAAGACATATGCACCCCTATATTTATCACAGCACTATTTAAAATAGCCAAGAAATGGAAGCAACCTAGTAGATGAATTGATAAAGAAGAGGTGGTGCATATACACAATGGAATATTATTCAGCCATAAGAAGAAAACAAATCCTACCATTTGCAACAATGTGGTTGGAGCTAGAGGGTTTTACGCTCAGTGAAATAAGCCAGGTGGTGAAAGACAAGTACCAAATGATCTCACTCATCTATGGAGTGTAACAACAAAGCAAAAACTGAAGGAACAAAACAGCAGCAGACCCATAGAACCCAAGAGTGGACTAACAGTTACCAAAGGGAAAGGGAGTGAGGGCGGTGGATGGGTAGGAAGGAAGGGATAAGGGGATTAAGGGGCATTATGATTAGCACACATAATGTAGGTGGGGCACGGGGAAGGCAGTATAGCTCAGAGAAGACAAATAGTGACTCCATAGCATCTTAAAATGCTGATGGACAGTGACTCTAATGGGGTATGTGGTGTGGACTTGATAATGGGGGGAATGTAGTAACCACAGTGTTGCTGATGTGATTGTATATCAATGATACCTTAACAATAACTAAAAGAAGAATACGAAGCTGTTTTCAATCTTTCCAGCAGCCTTATGCTTAACAGCAAGTGGAAGAGTGATAAGAAGGAATGAGCTATGTTATAATACTTTGGAAAACATCTCAAGGTAGGCAAAAATGGGAGAATCCTGAGTATTTTTATCTGAAGGACTAAGGTAGGGTACTGTATTTTAATTCCAGGATGCAAATTTTCACAATCTAACATCTTGAAATTTAGTGTCTTTAAATATCTGTTATGAGGTGTAGTTCACATACCATAAAAGTCACTCTTTTAGAGTAAAATTCAGTTTCATTTAGTGAATTCCCAGTTTGGCAACCATCACACTATCAAGTTTAGAACGTTTTCATCATGTAGTAGTCACTTCTTACTCTTCTCTCTTTCAACAACTGGCCACCATTAATCTACTTTCTGTGAATTGCCTATTTCTGAAATATAATATGTGACCTTTCATGTCTGACTTCAACATGTTAAGTTCATGCATGTTGTACTTCATTAATGTTCATAGTCAAATAATATTGTGTTGCATAGATGTATCTATTTTGTTAATGCATTCATCAGTTGGGACTTTTGGGCTGGTTCTCCTTTTTGGTTACTGTCAATAATGCCACTATGAACATTTTTGTACAAGTTTCTGTGTGAATGTTTTCAATTCTCTTGGGCACATATCTAGAAGTGAAAATACTGGGTCATGTGCTATTTTACTTTTTGAAGAACTGCCAAATTATTTGTTCTGAAGTGGTTGCACCATTTTACAATCCCACCAACAGTGTGTGAGGGTTCCAATTTTTCAACACATTGTCAACACTTGTTACTATCTTTACTTTAGCCATCATAGTGGACATAAAACCATATTTCATGGTTTTAATTTGCATTTCTCTGATGCCTAATGATGTTGGGAATCTTTATGTGCATATTGGTCATTTGTACCTTCTTTGGAAAAATACTAAAATCTTTTGACTTTAAAGTTTATCTTTAAATGTCATTTTTATTGATGAGTTGTATGAGTTCTTCATATATTCTGGATGTCTCTTTTCAGTTTTCTAATTTCCAAATAGTTCTCCCATTTTTTTACTTTCTTCACAGTATTCTTTGATTCACATTTTAATATTGAAGTCCAATTTATTTTTGTTGCTTGTGGGTTATTTTTGAAGAAATCATTGACTAATCCAAGGTCACATAGGTTTTCCTCTAAGAATTCCATAGTTTTAGTTCTCTGATCCATTTGGGGGTAATTTTTATATATTGTGTGAGGCAGAGATCCAACTTCGTTGTTTTGTAAGTGGGTATCTAGTTATCACAGCTCTGTTTGAAAATACTATTCTTACCTCATTGAATAGTCTTAGTACACTTGTCAAATGGGATGTATCTCACAATCGCAACTATGTTTTTCTGTAACAGCACATTTTAAAATTCATAGCATCTTACTAGCTTTGACAAAGTATTGGAACACTTAACTCCTGAAATAAAAACCTATATAAATGTGTGGTGGTTTTGGGGAAATGAAAAATCTATTTCTCTAAAATCGATTTCAATGCTAAGATTCTTGAATATCAATGTGATGAAAAAAGCCAAATACATATATTTTCTTATGAAAGACATTAGTTTAAGGCTTGAAGGCTTACACACCAATCCTTTTGTTGAAACTGAATGAGTATTGTCACAGAAGTAGCAATATGACTATAATGCTCATGAAGGAAATCCATTAATTCTATAAACCAGATTAAATTTTCCTAGAATTTAGATTTGACAGTGATGTAATGTCACAAGAAATAGTAATATAAACACCAAAGAAATTTTTTAAATAAAAAAATTAAGGGAATTTTCAGAATCCAGATTTAAACATATATTGTGCAGAATATTAAACAATAAGATCAACTGGGATCAATTTGGAAGTTTGAGAAATGCAAAAATCAAGACTAGTTTTGTATCAGCTTCCTACTGAGTGTCCTGATGAACCCAATGATAGCCACAGAGTCTGAAGACAATGATTCACAAACATACTGAGATCCATTTAATAGTTTTTGAAGATTTTTCCTGTAAAATGGCTTGTATTTCCACAGGTACAATAGTGAAGAAATAAACTTTTCAATTTGACATGAAATATAAAAGAACAGTTTTACAAATATATCCATAAAATTTAACTGCTTTTAACACTATACATGGTAAATATGACCACCCTCTTAACTTCTAGACTATGTAGTACAGAAAAACAATCTGTCATCTCAGTTAAAAGGAACAACTTCCCTTCATCAACTTTACTTTTGTTTAGAAACAGTTAAGTAGAACTGGAAAAATATTTGCTTTTCCTTATCTTCCTCTATAAATTCTTCACAGGATGAAAATTTACTTGAGAGGATGTAAGTTTTACTAAAAAGAAATACTGAACCTTCTTTTGTTTTACTACTTCAATAATGCTTGCATTCTTTTAAAAACATCCTGAAGTCTCATTGGCCTATGACTGGGTCCTAAAGAAATGATAATAGAACTGTGCTCTATTGCCAGCACTGAAGGAGGAATGTCGGGCCCTCAGCCCATGAAGGCTAAATCATGGAGATATAAGATTGACAGCCAAGGGAACAGAGCTGGGTCTGGCTTACAATGAAGGTTCTGTGGTTTGTCTATCAGAAATTCCACCATTAGAAAACAAGATGGCATGAAGATACCTAGTTCTCAGCATTAACAACGCTGTGATCACACATCCTTCCATGCAAATCCGAAGAAGAGAATGGCTTTAAAAAAGAAGTTGGTTGAAATATGGAACTGTAGGTAATGATCCTGTAATCTATGTTAAATTGAGGAGAAAACATACTCCTTTTAAACTCTCAAAAGTGCCAAATAACAATACTGAGCTCTCAAATAGCAGGGGTTTGAGTTCATGTAAGCAAAAATAAAGCATTGAAGCTTTATGAAGAAAAGAGTTCTCCTCGACTTTCCTAATACAATATATGTAATAACTTCCCTACTGATACTGGAAATAAATTCTACTACAATCATGTATGCCAGTTCCTGGCATATTTCTGCATTCAGATTCATTAGTCTCCTTAACGGAGCCCTTCAGTTTTCCAATGGCTTTCTCCTTTCTTTAAACCCTAACCCTGGAATTTTATAACCAGTTATACCACATGGCTTCCCTGAGGCACAAAGGTACCAAACCCTATAATTAAGTATTGAGGAATGATATATATATGCTATTTATATTAATTAAAAATTTTGGGGGGCCACAGTTAGAAAAAAAGAAACTCACAAACCCAGGAAACTTAATACTTACTCTGCAGTGTGAACTGTAGCCCTTTTTGCAGAAAGGGGAACCAAATAAGGGGAATGTTGAATTTGTAACATGCATGACCTGGCACCATTGATTATTAATAATAAAAAAATTCCAGACTAGAAAAATATTCAGAGTGTATCCATCCACTCTGAATTTTTCTTTTTTTTTTTTTTGGTAGTAAAGTGACATAAACTGAAAAAAATGGGAATACATTGCTGGGGCTTCACTTCCGGAAACCTATTCACAAAAGGCATTTTGGTCAGACTGAGATCAAGATAACTGGTCAGCAATTTCTTATGTGTACACGTAGGGGAGTGGGACTCACCCTTCAGTGTGATGGCAGCAAGACATAAAAACAAAAGTGACCTCTGAGAAATCACTTGTTCTGAACTATAGAGTTCTTTATTCTTACAAACTAAATTGCTCTCACCTCCGGAAAAAAAAAAACTCATTAGCCAAATTACAAGGGGATCTTCCTGGAAATGGCCAAGATGAACATGGGTTCTTTTCTGCAGATTTGCCACCTCCGTGTGGTGCCTTAGGTAAGCTGGGAGAGGACCTCACTTGGAAGTCAAGGAAAAGAGGTGCTGATAGAGGGCAGTACCCGTACCCTGTACCCCTTCCAAGAGCTTGGGAATTTATTAGCCAAATTACAACTTAGCTATCTGAGTTTACTGAAAGTCAGAAACTTTTCAGGTTGGAAGGTAACTATATTTTGGGGTGTATGTTGCATGTAGAACTATAGACCTTGAGCTACAATAGTCCTTCAAAGGGAATTAGATGATAACTTTCCTGAAAAAAAAAATGTTTTTGCTAGGTAAAATCCAGCCTTTCTAGATGCAAGACCATTTATTTACCTCACAGGATGCTTTTAGGGTATCAAGACTCCCTAAACCCAGACAGCAAGAAAAGGGACCCTGTGCTGCCTTTATCACTGTGGAACCCCAAGCAGCAGCAGCAAAGGCTGAAAAGAGAGGCTGTCAGTAAAAGCTAACCATTGGAGACTGGCTAGATCAAAAGGCATCCGATGTCTTATTCTAGGCAACTGCATGGCTCTCTTTCATTTTCTGCCTGCAGGTAGGTAAAATGCCAATGAAGGGACTGTTGTTGGATTTTCACATCACTTAAAAATTACCAGAACAAAAATGCCTCATCCTAAACAGTTATCTCCACTGAAAGTAAAGCTACTTTAACATGGAGAGGCTGAACATTTTATGTACTAAGTCAAATTAAGCAGTGGCCATCAAGAGTAATATATATCTTAATGTATCTTATCACTTTAAGGGAAAGGACATTCAAAATGGGTTAGAACGACTGAAAATAAGCAAAATATTTGCTGGTAAGCAAAACATGGAAAAACCAATTCAAATACGGATACAGTATATTAGAATCATATAAATTATATATCTTTATGGAGGTTAAAAAATGTAGGACAGATCTGCAATGGTTGATTTACGAGGCTGTTAGTTTAAATAAATACTTGCCCCACGTGGTGGAGATCTACTCCCTCTCAGCCAGCCCTGGCAGTCTCATGTCCTAAAGGATCTTTACATTCTGGAAGAGTAATACTACTGGTACCGAGCACAGAGAATGAGCATCCAAGAATTATTATTCCAAATGAAATGAAACTAACAGAGAGGAATGGTGGAGCTCATATGAAATTCTGATTTAATTATTCCTCAGTAAACACTCATTTGCTCTCTTGAAATCAGGAATTTCAAATTATCTCTGCAGATGTACCACTTGGTGTTGTGTATATCTAATGATCACATTTAAATTTAGTTTGATTTGCAAACATTTTCAAAATTTACAAGGCTCCATAAGCTGCAAGAGAAGGTGACAGATGGCAGAAAGGGAGTGAACAAAAACGACTGTAGCATTGTGTCATGTTGCTTTAGGCTTGCAATATTTTGCCTTTCTTAAGAAAGAAAAAAACCTTATGAAACCCCCACAAGTGATTCTGAAAAGTAAAATCTGATGTTTAATCACTCTTAAATCTTAAACAATTCAGTAAGCAAATAAATAAACTTGAGCTTATAGTACCTAGGCCAGGTTTCTGCTGCAGTAATCACCCAGAGTTAATGAATTTTTAAGAGGTGCTACATTTGAATCTAACAGTTTTAACCACACAAGGTGCATATCAGGGAAAGACCATATTAGACAGAAGTCACAAAAGGCCGACTAAAAAGTTATGGAAGATTCTTTGTTTGAAATGTTAAGGTATTTGATGGATGTGTGTATAAAGTAATTCAATTTCTCTGAAGCTAAAAGAAGAAAACATGACAGCATATGAATGCTCTAATCCCCCCCCAAGAAAAATATATCCAAAAAATCCCCCAGATTTTAAAATAACCGCCTGTGCCTAAGGTTATATCTTGTGCACCAACCACGTATTATAGGGCCGCTCCTTTGGTTTCGGTCAGATTCTAGCCTATATCAAGTACTTCCAGACACTGCATGTCTTTCAGTTACACTTACATCACACAGCATGGAAGGTTGCACATTAAGAGCCAACAACTTTTGAATAAATTTTTTCTACAGTGGTAAAATAAGATATAAAGTCTTGTCCAAATTTACAAAGGAAAACACTTGTTTAAAAATCCAAGGTTAAAATAAAAGCACGGCATTTTAAATCCAATTACTACAAAGATATTATGGTTTAATCAAGCAGATTTCAATGACAATGCTGTTGTTCTGAGCATGCAACACACCACTGGCATCTTCTGTTCCTGGCATATTTCATCACTGTGCCCCATCTTTTTTCCCAGCCTCAGGACCCCCTCCATTAATAAACAGCATTATAAAAAGGTAAAATCTAGAGTTAGTGGCAAAATCTTCACAGTAACTTGTTAATTAAATTGTAGATGGCTGTTAAGGGCATCAGTCAACTGGCCCTTGGAAAATTAATTTGATGCAGTTCTGTTCCCCAGCCAGCTGTGTGGCACAGAAAGGGCAGGCAGCATGAAATGCGTGAGTTCCATGAGGCAACGGAATCTGAGACCAATATTTTGCAGACTTCTCTGAGCACACGTGTCCACAAGGTGTAAAAGCATGAGTTGGTGGTCCTGCATCTACATAAAACCCTGCCTCGCAGCCAAGCCAGAGAGGTACGTAGGGGCCCACAGTCCTGCACATGGGACACTCCCTCTCGTTGGCCTCAGTGTCGCTCCGATGACCCCAGTTGTGGTACCCGTGCACATGGCCACAGCTGAGGTATGCCCAGGGCTGCTTCTCCTCTACCACCTCTTTCCTGTTGATGCTGGGGAAGGCCAAGGTATTGAGCCCTACAGGACACTGCGGCCGGGCGGCATTGATCTCCTGACGGAGGGCTTCAATGTGTTTCTGAGTTGGAGTGTGAAAAAGGCCATCAGCTGTTCTCCAGAGAAGAGTGGCCCCACACAGGTCAATGAGGGAGCCATCCTGCAGGACGTTGGTCTCACTTTCCACCTACAAGTTTGACAGACATGCCTTTAAAAGCAAAATTCAGCAAATTATGCCAACATTCTTTCCTCTCAAAATAAACAAAAATCATCTTTCAAGTAAACACAGGGAAAAGTTTATTACAATGCCTCCAAAAAACAGGACTCAGGGAGTAACTTAGCCTCCCTGAGACCCCATCGTCTATTTGAACACTGGATTTAATACACATACAATATACACAAAGTCCTCAGTGCAAATACATCTAGCTTTACCTGTTCCATGAATGTACTGGTTATTTTAATAAACTTCACAAATCTTCTTAAAGTCTTATTTTTCCTCAATAACACAATTACTCCTTGATCTCAAGGGACAGGAAATAGCCTACTGGCCTATCCAGGGAAGGCTCATTCACCTCAAACAGAGCCAATCCAGGAGACCCTTGTGGATCCAGCAGTAACTGCAGAAGTAGTCCAATGACACCCCTGCTGACCCTTAGTTCATACGATCCATCATTTAATTCCTAAGGGTTGGAGTGGAAGTGTTCACAGTCAGCCTTCATTTTCAAAGGCTGGCTATGCCCCGTACACCATGTGCTTACAGGACTGATTAGAGTTGATGAGAAGTACAGCTAAACATGGTCAACAGGAATGAGATCACTACCTCCAAGTGCCACAAGTGTTCTAAGTCCTGTGGGTACAAGTTCTATAAAACTTCGCCTTCATCCTGAAGAGTCATGTTCTCTAGTAGCAGGAGGCAGACATCCTGGAGCCTGGAGCCAGCGAAGGTCAATGAGGTGCTGAAGGGGCTGTGTGAGGCCACATCACCACAGGGGCGCAGAGCATGGGCTCCTGAGCTTCCTGCTCTGGTTTGAATCCCAGCCCTGTCACTTATTGGCTTCTATGACCTTGGGCAATTACTTAAGCACCCCATGCCTCAGTTTCCCCTTCTGCAAAGTGAGATAAGGAGACTGTGAAGGTTAAATAACGTAATACGAATAACTTTCTTAAAACATTGTCTGGCTTGCAGTAAGCACTAGTTAATGTTTGCTATTCCTTTGATGATGATAGTAGGTCAGAAATGGTTTTTAAGAAGGGTTTCCCTTGAACAGAGATTTGAAAAAGATGTTAGGAGTCGGTGTGTGGGATAGAAGACATACCTGAAAGAAGCACAAGAAGGAATGTGCATTCAAGGGGCAACAAGGAGTTCGAAAGATTCAACAGACAGCTGAAAATGGCTGGATGGAGCCCATATGTTGGGGGGCAGAGCAAGAGACTCTGGCTGCAATTTTGGCTTCATATACCCAAAGGGGATCAGTGGTGAGTTTTAGGCAGCTATAGAAGAACAGGTTTGCCTTTCCAAAAGGTCATACCCAGAAGTGTGAAGAATGGGTTGGATGGGTGTAAGACAAGAGGTGAGGAGACACAGAGGTTCTGTCTCCAGTGCACCCTGACAAAAGTACCAGCGGGAACAGACAAGAGGACAGGTACTGAACAGGAGGAATTAGACCTGGCAGCCCTTAGCTCCTGATTTGAGGAAAAAACACTTTTATGTATTTGGCTTTCCTGTGTATTGAGAATGGGGCTTCCCACCAACAGGGAATATAGGAAAAATGACAGATTTGAGGAAAAGACAGTTAGTCTGGTTTGGGGGTATAGAATCGGAGTGTTGTGCAGTGTGAGAGGTGGTAATGCACAGAAGGCACACGTGACTGCAGCTTGGGTGACAGACCTGGCTTAGGGAAGCATGTCTGGGATTTATCACCGAAGAGAAGCCCCGCGAGTGGGTGAGACTGCCCAGCCAGTGTCCTGGGCATGGTGGCAGAGAAGGCCAAGGACAGAGCCAGGAGCACAGCCCACCAAGGCTGGGGCAGAGGAAAAGAACTGTGTAAAGGGAAGAGAGGTATGTGTGGGAGGAGAAAAATTGTGTCACTCTTTGGCTCAAGGGACTTGGCTGGCTCTGCACTGTTCTCAGGATCAAGCTCAAACTTAAAAGTTCATTCACTGTGTGGCCAGTTGACATGAGCATGAATGAAGGCCACCCTACGCCAAGGATGCTGTGTTTGAGCCTGTATGCACACTCTTGGAATGCCCACAGACACACTCACAAGTACCCTCTGTCTAGCATTCTCTGTCACAGTACACCCAGCCCAAGTCTGGCAAACTCCCACACCCACCCCACTGGCCTGGGAAACTCTGCCCCATCATTCAGGTCTCACTCGGATGTCACTTTGCCTGGAGTTTTCCTTTAATGAAGAAAGCAGCCCCTCCCTAATAATAAAGAACCAAATATTGCTAGTTAAAAAAAGTTAAGGTCCCAAGAAAATGATAAAGCGTACTCTTGGAAAGGACAAACAGGTGACCCTGAGCCCTTTCAAGTGGCCTTTTTAAAGTCTGAAGTTCCCTCCTCACCCCACCCCCACACTGAGTACCCCATGGTCTCCTGCCTGGTACCCTGACCTGACAGGGCATCCTGAGGCTCCCTTCCCTTCTGACACAGGTCACTCTCAGAGAAGGTCTCATCTCAGCCTGCACCTGTGCTGAGAACTCTGATGTGGTGAGAAAGTGGGATCTGGTAGTGGCCATCCTGTGGAACAGCCCTTTCTTTCCTTCCTACAGGGAAGTTCTTGGTAAAAACACCTTATCACAAATTTGGGTCTATGGTCTGTTACAGTAATATTATAAAGTGTTATCAACAAGATAAAGGAACAGGACGGAATTCAAAGTTTATTTGCCTGTTTTGTTTTTTGTTTTTATTCAGGGGGTTAAGCTCCTGGAAAGGCATATCCTCCACATTTAATTAATTATGTTCATCAAATACAAAGTACCAAGGCTCTATCACACTTGGTGCAATGATGAGACCATGGCAATTTGCTGTTAACAACACATCAGTATATACTGATTCACATTTAATGCTGAGTAAAATATTAATACAAAACCTTTTATCAGCACTAGCTTCACACTGAGGAGGCATGTACTACTTTAATAAAAAACAAACATCTGGACTTCTAGAAGATCACTGTATTCTCCAAACTTTTATGATGAATTACAAAAGAGTACTGCCAGAGACTGCTCCCAAAATCTAATCTCCAGATAGACAAAATTTATATCAAATGCTACCAGCAACATGTACAGGGACAAAGTGTCATAAACTGAAACAGAAGCTCAAAGAATCAGTAGGTTTTCAACTTGGACAAACTGTTTTCCAGGTAAACAGGGAGTGGGGGTCCAGGGGAGGATGGGTCCTTTCATCCCCACAGTATCTCCCACAAACCCAAGATCAGATTGACAGAAGCCTGGAAACCTTTATTGTTGGCCAGGTCAACTATACATTATCAAACAGAACAACACAACTTTATGTAATCTAAGGGACTAACTCCAAAATTAGTCTATAATGCAACGCATTAACACAAGCTCTTCCTGGATTTCTTTTCAGTAACACCATAAACTTCTCTGGCTCACACAGCTGCCTGAGCTGAGTCAATGCACAATCACCAGGCGGGCAACACTCATCCTGTGATGTGCCCTCCTGGACAACCAGTCCTTGGCGGATTCCCATGTATACTTCACAGTGACCCAGGGAGGCCAATGCTCCTGTGTAAACAGTCCCAGGTGACACCCCGGTGTTACTCCCCACAAGATGGTACTGAGTACCAGTGTAGAGTCCAGACCCTGAATCAGGAAGCCCTGAGTCTTAATCTCATGTGCTGCCACCTCCTAACTCCATGGCATTGGGCAATATTTAACTTCTCTGTGACACACCTTCCTCATCCATAAACTGAGGATGATTTCACTTCCCTGACAAGGTTTCTGTGTACGTTAAATGAGCTAATTCAGCGCCTGCACCCAGCAAGCATTTACTCACCGTTTACTGTTGCTATTCTAATGATGAATAACAGTTTGGCCAACTTAGGTCAGTTTTGCAAAAAATCATCTTAGAATCACAAACAAAAAAACTGCTTTCACATTCTCTTTCCTATTTACAATCTCCTGAAAAGTATTTAAACCAAGTTTATTGAGTTAGTTTAGCTTTTCTTAGGAAGCGCTTCTTATATTCACTCTGTTATGATGCTCCAAGGCTGGGCTTTACTATAAAATGCAGAGGCTGTATCTGTAGCTCAATAATGGTGTAAAATAGAAATAAAAATAAAAATAACAATGCTCCAAAAATAAACATCCAGTAGAGAATAGCAAACCAGGTTAGTAAAACAGTCCACCATTTTTTCTCTCTTAGAAATATTTAGTTATCATCTTGCTGAAAAATGTTAGATCACTATGTGCTTTTCTATGGGCGTTTTGAAGAAAACATTTGTTCTCTCTTAGTCTAACTTCTACCTAGCAATTAATTAGAATTACCAGAGTGGAAAGTTCACTGAGAACCTTTGGTCTGTGCAAGATCAGAAACCCTAAGCTTCTCATTGAAGGGACTGTAATTGTTCTCCATAGGAGAAAGGGTTAAAAAAACCAACTGCTTTATAGCATTTGGGATCAGTAGTAATATTTATAGGAAAATATTAACATGTCAAGTCAATGCACCATATGAATTATTTCAAGTAAAAAGCTTTAGCTATGATTTGGTGAATTAATTATATAGGGAATATGCATTTGTTTCTTACTATGAAGTCAAGAAAAGCTAACTTAGTTATCTTTTAGTTCCAGGAAGTCTACTATATAATTCTGTAATTCATAATTTTCATTAATTAGTCTTGGGCTGTTCAGGATTTTTCTAAATAAGCAAAGTTTTACACTAAAAATATATTCACTCTTCTTAAAGTGAATTTAAGTACAATTTGTGGTGAAGAACATCATGAAAGATTATGCTCTTGAAGTAAGGAACAAAAAGATAATTTTCTTCTACCATGGGAAAAGCTTAATCACATTAAAGGCAATAGGCTCATTTCCCTCTTATTTTTGTAAGTAACTACAGAATTCTCATTCTCCTGGGTCAGTGGTACATAGCACTTGCACCTGTACTAAGGTTTTGAATTTCAGAGGAAGAAAATGACAGGCCTTAAGTTAATTTTTATACTATAGTACATTTTCCAGAGTGAAGTCTACTCACCAGCTTTCCCCTTTGCTGGGCTGACCTGGTTTCTCTCAAGGTGTACACATCTCCACAGACAGAGATCTCCCGCCAGACACCAGGCTGGGACTCTTCAGTGAAGCCCCCTCTTGGATGCATCACCAGGACACCATTAGTAGTGAGCCCATCCATGTGGCCATCGGGATTTTTCCATTTTGCTGCTTTTTCCTAGAGAGCAGACCACAGAACAGAAAAAGTACTTAAAACGAAGGGATTCTATAATCTCTTTAAAATATTAGGTAGGAGCAGAGAAAAGTGATGCATTTTCATTTCCTATTTAAAGCTAATAATCAAAAAGACAAAATATGCAATTATTCCAACAATATGAAAGAAGTGCTAAAATGGATGAATGACTTATCACTGGATATGCATTCATCTGAGAAGATATTATATTCATCTCAGAAGCCTAAAAACAGAAAGTAAGAAAAGATCCTGATGGCTTGGCCTCTCCTTCAGAGATTCTTTTAAAATCCCCCAGGAGATTACAGGAATCTACTATGTGCTGTTCATTTCTATTTGTGCAATGTCTTCATCCTATTAGGTACAAATGCTTTATATGCACTCATTATCTGGGAAGTATATAGAAGGAAGAAGGAAAAAAAGAATTTTTATTGAAATACAAAATTTCAAAAATTGTTAAGCTAACAAGTTGTGGCCACTGTATTTTCATACAAATCAATGTTTATATCTTCAAAGATGGAAGGCAAAGGAAGCTTGATATAATAGCAGGACAGACACTTTTGGAAAAAGAAACAATGAGAGAGAAACTAACCAAAAGGCAAGTGATAAGATGGCAGTAGTCAATGCTTGCATATTAGTAATAAACTTAAATGTAAATGGATTAAATTCACCAATCAAAAGGAACAGAGTAGCTGAATAGATAAAACACAAGACACAACTATATGCTGCCTATGGGAGACACATCTCAACTCAAAGAAACTTAAGGCTCAAGCAGAAAGGATGGAAGATATTCCAAGCAAATGGAATTCACAAGAAGGGAGGTAGAGCCATACCTACAGCAGACAAAATAAACTTCAAGCCAAAGAAGGTTAACAAAAGGCAAAGAATGTCCTTATAGAGTGATAATGAGGTCAGTACATCAAAATGATATGACGATCATAAATGTACACACCTCAACACCCAAGCACTTAATTATATTAGGCAAATAAAAACAGATCTAAGGGAGAAATAGACAACAATACAATAATTGTAGGAGACTTCAGTGCCCTACTATCAGTAGTAGATAGATCATCCATACAGGACATAAACTAGGGAACACTGGAATTGAACCATTTATTACAAATGGATTTACTAGACATCTACAGAACATCCCATCCAACATCACAAGAATACAAATTCTTCTTGAGTGCACATGAAACACTCTCCAGGGCAGGCTGTATGATAGGCTACAAAAAAATCTCAGCAAATTTAAGAAGACTGAAATCATACTATCTTTCTCTGAACACAGTGGTATGAAATCAGTAAGAGGAATATGAGATCATCAAATATGTGAAAACTGAACACAATTATACACAACTACTGGGTCAGAGAAGAAATAAAAAGGGAAATAAAAAATTATCTTGAAACAAATGAAAATAGAAATGCAACATCTCCAATGTTGTGGGACTCAACAAAAGCAGTTCTGAATGAAATGTTTAGAGCAATAAATACATATATTAAGGAAGCAAAACAATCTCAAATAAATAACATAACTTTACCCCTTAAGGAACTAGAAAAAGAAGAACAAATTAAACCCAAGTTAGTAGAAGGAAGGAAATATAAAGATCAGGGTGGAAATAAATGAAAGAGAGCCGAAAAACAATAGAAAGGATCAAGACTAAAAGCTGGTTCTTCAAAAAGATAAATGAAATTGACAAACCTTTAGCTAGCTAAGAAAAAAAAGAAGACCCAAATAAATAAAATCAGAAATGAAAGAGGAGGCATTACAATGCATTACAATTGGCACTACAGAAATATACTGAATCATAAAGAGACTGCTATGAGCAATTATATGCCAACAAATTATATGACCTAGAAGAAAGGAATACCATTTCTAGAAACACACATCTTAACAAGACTGAGTTAGGAAGAGAGAAAAAAATCTAAACAGACCAATAATGAGTGAAGAGATTGAATCAGTGATCAAAAAACTGTCAGAGAAAACTCCAGGACCTGATGGCTCCCCTGGAGAAATCTACCAAACATTTAAAGAAGAATTAACACCAATTCTCTTCAAACTTTTCCAAACTATCAAGGAGGAAGGAACACTTTCAAACTAATTTTACAAGGCCAGCATTACTTTGATATGAAAACCAGATAAGGATACCACAAGAAAACTCTAGACCAATATCCCTGATGAATATAGATGCAGAAATGCTTAAAAAAATTAGCAAACTGGATTCAATAACACATTAGAAGTGTTATACACCACAAATCCTTAAATCCTCAATGTCCTTATATCCATGACATCCCAGGATATTGTGGGATTTATCCCTGGGATGCAAGGATGGTTCAACATGTGCAAACCAATACAAAGAGAAAAATCACATGTTCATATCAATGATACAGAAAAAGATTTTGACAAAACACAACATTCTTTCATGATAAAAACCCTTGACAGACTGGGCATAGAAGGAACATACCCTCAACATGATAAAGGCCATATATAACAAACCTACAGCTAACATATTCAATGGGGAAAAATTGAAAGTGTTTCCTCTAATATCAGGAACAAGACAAGGATATCTAATCTTACCACTCCTAATCAATATAGTACTGGAAGTCCTAGCTAGATCAATTAGGCAAGAAAAATAAATGAAAGGCATGTAAATCAGAAAGGAAAAAGTAAAATTGTTACCATTTGCTGATAAGACCTTATATATGGAAAACTCCAAAGAATCACTCAGAAATGGTTGGAATTTAATCACCAATTTCAGTAGAGGGATACAAAATCAACATAGAGAAATCAATTGCATTCCTTTACACTAATGATGAAACATATGAAAAAGAAATAAACTACTCCATTCTTAGTAGTATTAAAAACAATAAAATACTTAGGAATAAATTTAACAAAGGAAATATAAAAAGACCCATACAATGAAAACTACAAGACTTTGTTGAAAGAAAATGAAGATGAAAACAAATGTTCATGGATCAGAAGAATTAATATTGTTAAAATGGTATACTACTCAAAGCCATCTACAAATTCAATGCAAACCCCATCAAAATACCAAAAGCATTCTTCACAGAAATAGAACAATCCTGAAATGTGTGTGCAATCACAAAATATCTTGAATAGCCAAAAGCAATCCTGAGAAAAAAGAACAAAGACAGCGGTACCATGCTTTCAGATTTCAAAGTATACTACAAAGCTATAAAAAAAAACAGTGTGGTACTGGTACAAAAATAGACACACTAATCAATGGAAAAGCATAGAAAGCCCAGAATTAAATCCTGGTATATATGGTCAACTAACACTATTCAAGTGAGCTAAGAATACCCAGAGGAAAGAATAGTCTCTTCAAAAAATAATGCTGAGAAAACTGTCAAAACACATGCAGAAAAATGAAACTGGACCTCTCATGTCATGCTACTCACAAAGATTAACTTAAAGTGGATCAAAGATTTAAACATAATTCCTGAAACCATAAAACCAGAAAAAAATGTAGGGAGTGGCTGTGTTTCCATTTTGTGCCTGGAATGGTCACTGCAGGTACTACTCCTTGTGTGTGTGCACTGCAATTACATGCAGATTTCCCTTTCCTCATTATGCCAGACCTCTTCATTTTTTACTCCAAAAAGCTATAATTTGGCTTTTCTTTTGATGCTTAGTTTTATATAAGGGCATGTTACATTTAACCTGAGGGCTTGATGTTGTCAAATCTGGCAGTAAAACCAAGAGAAATCACTTAAAAAGTTCTTGAAAAAAGAAGAAGGAAATGAAAAAAACAGTTGGTGCAAGGTTGAGCATGTTTTGATGAGATTAACTGCATTGTTGATGGGAATGTAAATTAGTCCAACAACTACTGAAAATAATATGGAGGTTCCTCAAAATTTTTAAAATAGTTTATCATGCAATCCAGCAATTCCACTTCTGTGTAAATGTGCAAAGGAAATAAAAACAGGATTTTGACAAAATACAGACACTCCGATGATTACTGCAGCATTATTCACAATAGCCAAAATATGGAAACAACCCAAATGCCCATTAACAGATGAATGGATAAAAAAAATGTACATATATACAATGGAATATTATCCAGCCATGAGAAAGGACAGACTCCCATTTGTGATAACATGGATGAAGCTGAGAACATTATGCTAAGTGGGGTATGTAAGAAAAAGACAAGTACCATATGATGCAATTATATATGGAATCAAACAAGTTAAACCTGTAACAGAGAGAGTAAAATGATGGTTACCAGGGGATAGTGGGAGGGATAAGAGTAATAGTGTTTAAGAGTGCAAACTTATAATGAGTAGTAAATAAGCCACAGAGATCTAATGTACAGCATGGTAAATGTAGACAATAATATTGTACTATAATTATGTAATGTGGTAAGTATTGCTACATTGGCAACATTACAATACATAAATGTATCAAAGTACCACACTGTACACCTTAAACTTACACAACATTACATGTCAAATTTATTTAAAAAGTAATAAAAACAATAAAAAAAAGAGATGAGGAAGAAACAGTGCCCCTTCTTTGGCTGGAATTTGTCATGCTGCAGGGTACATGCAGGTATCTTAAGGTATCTTCTTATGGCATCTCTCAGTCATAATAAGAACTGAGGAAGCTGAAGTGCCCAGGGAGGCAGAGGGCACACTGTACCACTGAATTAACCAATCCTGTAGCTGACATTCCTTGGCACTTCTTGGTACATGGGATAATACATTTTCTTTATTGTTTAGGCCATTTTTTTTCCTGCTAAAATATCCTGATTCAAAAAGGAACTATATTAAAACTGAATATTCACAAGACTAGAGTTTCTTTTATATGGAATCCCTATAAGGCAGAGAATTTTCATCCATTTTGTTCTCTGTGATATCACACCTGTAACAACCAATATGGAGCACTACAAACAATAAAAATTTTTTGATTGAATGAATGAATAACTCGCTAACATTTTCCTTTGAGTGCTAGCTAATTCTAGATTTGGACTTTTATTTTTCTTTCTGAAATAAACCCCCTTAAATCTACCATAAATATATTAAGTACAATTTTAATATACATTTTAAAAAGATTACTGTTCATATTTTAATTAATATAACAAATATAACAAATAACAAGTAATGGCTTAATTATTTTCAGATTTTCAGTAACAGCTTTCCCAACTGGCCATCTGAACACTAAAAATCTCAAAATCTAACTAGAGGTATCATGCTAGGTCAATATTTTGGCCACAGTTACATGTTATATATGATAATAACAGGTGTTTTTCTTAAAACAATGTACTTGTTAACATTACTTACTCCAAGAAATATATTTTTGGAAGAGTCGAATCCGGCTGCAAATATCCGTGCTGTATAAGGTTCGTTCCTATCACACACAATTCTGCAGGCAAACCTGGATATGGTGCTTTGTGTGATCTGGGCTTCATCGTTGTTCTGACTGCCAGAAATGGTGTCTGTAACAACGAAGTCAATAGGGCTTTCTGTTGATCTGCCCACCTGAATAAATCAAATATAGTCATCACTCACTTGAAAAATATCAAGCCACCATATTTTGTTCAAATGGAATGAGTGTTCAGGATCCCTTTAGCATTCATTATCTCTGCACTGAGGGTAAGAATTTAATGAAAAAAAAAACCTTTCAGTTTTGTTCCTTTTCTTATTTTACTCATGGAGATATTATAGTAACCAACTGTCGAATATTACATATTAAAGAGCAAAGCTCAACTTTCTATTCTGGAGGACATTAGATCTTGTCCCAGACTGTAGCTCTTAGATCAGGTAAAAACATTTTTTTCACAGCAAATCATTTAATTTTTTTCCTATTTCCAGGTGGACAATGAAACAAGATTTTAAAGGAGGCCAAAAAACGAAGAGACTCCTGACCCCCCCTTTAAAATCTAACTAGAGGTATCATGCTAGGTCAATATTTTGGCCACAGTTACATGTTATATATGATAATAACAGGTGTTTTTCTTAAAACAATGTACTTGTTAACATTACTTACTCCAAGAAATATATTTTTGGAAGAGTCGAATCCGGCTGCAAATATCCGTGCTGTATAAGGTTCGTTCCTATCACACACAATTCTGCAGGCAAACCTGGATATGGTGCTTTGTGTGATCTGGGCTTCATCGTTGTTCTGACTGCCAGAAATGGTGTCTGTAACAACGAAGTCAATAGGGCTTTCTGTTGATCTGCCCACCTGAATAAATCAAATATAGTCATCACTCACTTGAAAAATATCAAGCCACCATATTTTGTTCAAATGGAATGAGTGTTCAGGATCCCTTTAGCATTCATTATCTCTGCACTGAGGGTAAGAATTTAATGAAAAAAAAAACCTTTCAGTTTTGTTCCTTTTCTTATTTTACTCATGGAGATATTATAGTAACCAACTGTCGAATATTACATATTAAAGAGCAAAGCTCAACTTTCTATTCTGGAGGACATTAGATCTTGTCCCAGACTGTAGCTCTTAGATCAGGTAAAAACATTTTTTTCACAGCAAATCATTTAATTTTTTTCCTATTTCCAGGTGGACAATGAAACAAGATTTTAAAGGAGGCCAAAAAACGAAGAGACTCCTGACCCCCCCTTTTATCCAGCTCCAGGGGCTGGATTTCCCCACTCAGTAAATAACACGGTGACTCACAGAAACGAGTAAGAGTGGCCCCAACCTAGACAGAGAGATCAAATACCTACTATCATTACTCAGTGTGAAGAGAGTGAGGTAAGGGGCTATCTAAGTTGGCCCAAAGTTTCAGATGCAGTCAAATGAAATATTTAAATAACTGGTCTTAACATTTTGATTTTGGATTTTTAAACAACTCTTTGGGAAAAGTCTAAAAAGTCTCCAATAATATTAAAATAAATTTTAATAAATTAAAATTGTCTTACTTTCCTTGGTAAGTTTAAATGCTGCCAGAAGTAACATTTCTTTAGGAATATCAGGGTGCTAGCAAAAGTGTTCATATGCATAAATCCAAGTAAGACAGGCACTGCTCTGTCTTGTGGACTGAGGAGAGTTAAGTTTTTGTTTACAAATAAGAAAAACCTCAAGATCAAATATTAAAATGTTTATGTAATGATGTTTCATGAATCCCTACTTGGAAAATAGTGATAAATGTTATATATGCCAAAGAGACTTCTTAAATTAAAATCATTTATATGTAAATGAAGCACTTCTCATTAAATATGATAATAATGTTCTCTCCTAACAATAGTGACTGATTCTAAAGCTTCCAATGGGAAGAATAGAGTCCCCACCTGTGTACATATAAGGCCCCCAAAAGTCAATTTCCCAGTTCTCTCTCTCCCGATCTTAAAATTCTACCTAGAACATAAGCAATACAATACACTTTTTATCCAAACAAATAAAGGTGAAAAAAAATATTATCCTATTATACATTATTTTGCTCTGCTTGCTTCCTGGAACAGTATTAAATTTCTTTTGTATATCTCACATATACATTCTCATGCATAGACTATCTCTGTTAAACCAACAGACAACAGACATCTATTTTCCCTTGTTTTATATAATCCTTAATTTCTTGCCCTAAAGAAATATGCCTGGAATAAACTAAACTACTGGCTTCACTATAGCTCATCAACTTGAATAGATGCATATTGCCTGAGAGTTTGCATTTCAGGTTTAGAAATCATCTAACTTGTTAAAAAATGCAACATAAAATCTAAATTAGAAATATTATAAAATCATATCATACAGTTCATCTTTCTAAAGTTGCAGAATCTTCCTTCTGGTAGATTCATTTAAAAGCTGAGCGTGTAACTCAGAAGCTAGTAATTGAGACTGCTGTAATTTTTTTAAAGCCTTTTTTTTAGCTACTCTCTTAGGTACTTAAGTATAAAATACAGTAGTATTAACTTTAAACACCACACTGTACATTAGATCCTCAGAACTTATTCAAATTACAAAACTTACAGTTAGAATTTTGTTCTGTTTGACCAATATCTTCCCATCTCCTCACCCATTGGTGACCACCATTCTAGTCTTTGTTTCTATGATTCTGATTTTTTTGTATTTTAGATTCAAAAATCTGTATCTTATATCTATAAGTGATATCCTACAGTATTTACCTTTCTTTATTTTACCTTAAAGAGCTTTTATTATAAAAGTAACAGATACTTACTGCAAAACATTTCACAAATAAAGGGAAAGTATAAAGGAAAAAATAAAGGCTACTATAAACTCAGAACAAACTTGAATCGCTATTCCATTGAGGTTTAAGGAGTAAAATGTAAAAAGATTTAAAATTGCCTGGTCACCACACAAAACCCACAGCTCTCACAAAGATGTAGTCTCTGACCTAATTTTGGTCACCTCCATGGATGAGGGCAAAGACTTCTCAAGCTCTGTTATAAGCTAAAAGCTAAAACCATACTAGGAGAATGTCACACAACTGGCTCCTTGTCTTACAGAGATTACTCTCTTCCAGAAAGGCCATTCTGATTTCATCCTGATAGATTAAATTAATGTCTTGATAAATAACTTGGAATTGACTATAAAACTTGTCATTTTATTCCAACTGTAACATACTGCTAGGATCAATTACTTCAAGTTATGATATTTATCTGACTGGTCATACAAGATTTTTTTACCAATTCACTTTCATTTAAATCTAACTTAACCTATAGAATGTGAGTATAATTTTACATGTTAGGAGACAAACCTCATGTTGCTTTCACTGGGAAAAAAAAAACTAAGCCACTTTCCTACTGAAATCTCACCCAGTGTGGAAAACTTGAAGCTTCTCCTTTCTTTTGGCTACAGGATCAACTCGAATTATTTTAAGAGCAGTCATGTAGACAAGCCAAAATGTTTCTGAATTTCATCAGCTATTCATGTTGCTCATGTACACAAGCCAAGATGCTTCTGAATTTCATCTGCTACTCATATAGTGTTGATATGCATATACTAGCCACAGGGAGAATTAACTCCCTACCACTGACACTCACAGACACAGCACCATTTGGCACTTTAAATTTTATATACATCCGAAAAGTCTGGGTTTGTCTGGTTGTCAAAATCAGTATATGTAAGACTGGAAGGGACTAGAATCCTCATTTTTTCCAGCCAATCCTATCCATGGCCCTACATCTGGAACCTTACTTTTTGACTTCCCTCCTATGACAAGGATGAAATACTGTTGCTCCTTTCCAAGACCAGTCTCTCCACTGATGCTTGGGATCCCAATATTCTCCCTTTCCCAAGGATTTTGTTACTGATATTGCCTCCCTCTCTCTCCTGAATCATTAATTTCTTTCTTTTTATTGGTTTGCACCATCAGCTGTCAAACACATTCTGGAGCTTCTCAAACTCTGTGACTCTACGGGGCAAAAGACCAGTTTTTAATTTTTTAAATTTCATCTTTATCACCTTTTATAAAATACAATAAATATGAGTACTGGAAAATGATAAATGGCTTGGATGTTTCAGGATGCCAAACTGCTAATGTCTCCAAACACCTTCTCTCAATTTCCTAGTCATCTTATTCTGCACTGTTAACAGACATTTCACTGCTTGGCTAAGCACGGTTTGAGTAACACTGTTCTAGACTAATCTCTCATCTTTAAAAAGGCTTTGCTTCGCCTGTGAGCAACCCTCCAGCTAGAGCCACATTTCTCTGATTCACTCAAGCAATACTTCTTGAAAAACCTGTCACAAGTCACCACCTCCATTTCCTTACTCATCCCCTTAACGTCTCTCCTCAACCTATTTCAGCTGAGCTTCCCTCCCCAAGGCTTCACTGAAACCACTCCTACAGAGGTTTCCGGGGCTTATTATTCAGCCAGCATATCCTGGCACAGCTGTACCTGGTATTCAAATAATGAAACTCTTCCAGGCTAGTTGGTACATAGTCCTCCCCTTCTCTTTCTGTTCTTTCTCTAGGTAATTTCAGCAAATCTCATTTATTAGACAAAAAGCCCTGATCCCTTTCCCAGCTTCAGACTAGCACATCCCACCTCCACTTGGATGTCTAATAAGCATCTCAAACGAAACATGTTCCAAACAGAACCCAGATCCCCCTTTCAACCACTGGAGTCCCTATGTCAATGATTGGCATCCAATTTGCTCCAGCCAAAAATCAATATCCAAGAATTACCCGTGAGTCTTTCCTTTCCTCCATAACAGATCGAGCTCTGTGGAAACCCTGCCAACGCTACCTCTCAAACACCCCATTTATCCTTCATCTTCTCCCCACCTTGGCTCCAGGTAGCACCAACTCCTCCTTGGATTGTGCTACCTTAGCCTCCAAACTGGACTCCTCGTTTTCACACTTGCCTCCTGCATTCTTCTCCAGACAGTAGCTGGAGATACCTTTTAAAAATATAAATTAGATTATATCTCTTCCTTGCTTAAAGTCTTTAACAGCTCCGCAACACTGGGATAAAACACAAATTCTTTACAAGGCCATACCTCTTGCAGCCTCTGCCTACCTCTCCAATCTCATCCCATTTCACTTTCCTCCTCCCTCACTCAGTTCCTGCCCTGGGGCCTGGTCTGTTAGCCTCCTTCTGAGTGCAGGTTCTCTAAGGGGAGCCTTAGCTGTCAGTGACTAGATGAGTATCTGTTAGGTGCTCAAGAAACAAAACTGATAGAGGATCATGTGTGAGACACACACACGCACACAAAGAAATAGGTATTGAAAAAAATGTAGATATCCTTTAACATTTTTCTCAACTAAATAGAAGCTAATTAAGTGTTACCATCTAAAACTACTGTAAACCAATTAAATTAGAAATCAAACAAACAAAACCCCAAAATGTAAGGCATTGCACACCCAGGCTTGAAGCCTGTGAGACTGAGAAGTCAGAGACGATGAACGCTGGCTCCAGGGTCTAGCCAGTTTCCGTGCCACCACACTCAGAGGCATTTGGCATCACACTTCACTGCAGGGACTCTGTAAGACATTTCCTCACTTCCTTTGATTCCTTTCCTAAGTTATTTTGTTTTTTATATTTTACTTTATTAATAGCTACACTCTTTTTCCTTCATGTACCACTATCCTAGAATATAAGCTCAAACCCTGACTATTCTCAGACTTTCTCACTTAACGCATCTCTTAAGTTCAGATCTAGTTTTGATTTTTTCTCAGGCAATTAATATTTATGAGTTATAAGCCTACTAACTGATTCCACTGTGGAAAATGCAGCTCAAGGTACTTTTTTGGGTCATTCTGATGTTCTGCTTTTAAATGCTTAATTAATCTATGAATCATTTTAATGGGTAATAGGTAAAATGAACAGACCTCAACACCAAGGTCCATACTTGGGAAATATGAATGCTATGTGCCTTTTGCTTAGAAATTTTTGTCACTGGTAGGCTTTGGACATACTGATAAAAGATGGAAAAAATTAAAAGCACCTTGGTTTTTTTTCAATGGTTAAGAGTTGCTTAATTCTACTCTGCTTAGAGAGATCTGACATTAATCCTCTAATACATCCAGTTAGTCTGTGAATGGAATCAGATTATTTTAGTAAAAATGACAAACATGGTATTTTTTCTTAATAAATTTATAAATTCTTGTGGAATCACCATGCTTGGTTTAAAGAGGTTGAATTGGCACTATCTAGAGAATACGGAACTCAGGAGACCTAAATCTTAGTTCTGCCACTAATGCCTTCTCTGCCCTTAGTTTAAGCTGCTTTCCTTTCAAAGATCCAGATTTCTCAGCTGTGAAATTAAGAAGTTAGTAAAGTGTAAGTTGGTATTTCTCAGTGTGGTCCATGAACCTTTGAGGGTCCCCGACACCTTTTAAAGGGGCCAGACCTTTTAAAGGGGCCAGATCCATGAAGTCAAAATTGCTTTCATAATGATATGAAGATACCACCTTATCCATGGTGCTGACATTCATTCGCTCTGACAGGACTAAAGAAATGATGTGCTTTAGCAAGAATTAAAGCAGTGGCACCAAACTGTACCGATGGTCTTTGGACTCGCCATTTACAGTTAAAAAAAATAATGCCAATTTCACTTATGTATCCTTTTGATGAAACAGTGGAAAATTACTAATTTTATTAAATCTCAAATCTTTTAATATTCTGTGTGACAAAATGGGAATTGTGAATAAAGCACTAGAGGTTCATAACCATATGGAGGTTCCTCAAAAAATTAAAAATAAAACTACAATGTGATCCAGCAATCCTACTCCTGGGTGTTTATCCAAAAGAACTAAAATCATTACCTTGAAGGGCGGCTATCTGCTGCCCCATGCTCACTGCAGCATTATTTACAACAGCCAAGATATGAAAACAGGTGAATGGATAAAGATGTGGCATATACATATAGTGGAATAGTATTCAGTCTTAAAAAGGAAGAAATCCTGTCACATGTGACAATATGGATGAACCTAGAGGAAATAATGCTATGAGAGAAAAGCCATTTACTGAAGCACAAATAATGCATATTACAATGATATAAACAGAGTAGAATGGTGGTTGTCAGTGGCTTGGGGAGGGAGGTGGTGAGAGAAATGGGAAACTGTTATTCAACAGATAAATAGTTTCAGTTATGCAAAATAAGTTCTAGAGATCTGCTGTATAACATTGTGCCTATAGTTAAAAATACTGTATTGTGCACCCAAAAATTTGTCAAAAGGGTAGGTCTCATGTTAAGTGTTCTTACTATAATTGAAAAAAAAAAAAAGAACAAGAAGCTGAAAAACAAATCCAGCTAAATCTTTAATTCATTCTACACTTGCAGAGATGAGAAGAAAGTGAACAATCTGAGTGGAATGTGATTGTACAATAGTGAAAAGTACACTATTTATGTCATAGCATGTCACTAAAGAATAGTAATGAAATTACATGTGCCATCAGAGTCACTTGTTGATTTTTTAATTGATAAAAAGTGTACCACTGACAACTGTAAAATTCTGATTCAGTTTTTTAACACTGGGAATCTTCTATGTAAAATAATAATGAATGTGTTAGCTAATTAACTTCTGAGTGCTTTATGTACAATTCCCATTTTGTCACACAGAATATTAAAAGAATTGAAGTCTAATAAAATTAGCAATTTTCTACTGCTTCATCAAAATGATATGTAAGTGAAATTGGCATTATTATTATTGTTATTATTTTAGCTGTAAATGAAGACTACAAAGAACATTAATAGTTTGGTACTTATTTAGGGAGAGACTGACTTTGGAAGAGTGATAAGAAAAGGCATATAGAATATTATAGAATAGAATAGCATGAAGAGTAAAACCACTGTTAGTATTTTGTCTAAATACAATAAATCTTACTTTTGAGTTCTAACTGGCTCTTAAATAACTATGTCTAAATCTACGACTACGTAAAATTGTTTAGTTTTTCTAAATTAGGTATCACATTAACATGGTTAAAAAATCAAAACATGTGACATACCTCCCAGTGTACCACCTGGTAGCCCTCTTGCCCACAAAGGCAACTGCTTTATAAATAATGTCTTGTTAATTATTTTGGGGATTTTTGCATATATGCATTATTTAAATTATTTATACTAATTTAATGCTTGATTGATATACTATTTAATATATTTAATAGCCAATTATTTAACATTTAACATTAAATAATCTTAATTGGATATCATACTAACAAGGGCACAATATATTTGATAATACTAATATTTAACTCATTTAATACATTTGGAGTACTTCCTGGGTCTATACATAGAGCTTCTCTGCTTTACAGACTTGGAAGCCTCCACTGTATGGCTGTATCTGAATTTATTGAACTGGTACCCTACTGAAGGGTAGATTGTTTGCAATTTTTTGCTGTTAAATCATGCTTCGAGCAATAACTCAATAAAAACGTCATTTTGGATATATTTAGGAAAATTTATAGGAAGAGAAGAGATTTAGAAAGAGCTGAGTCAGAGTGCAAGCATTTTGTATTTTTCATAGATACTTCCAAATCACCGCTCCGTAGAGGTTATACCAAATTCTAGGATGTAGGAGAGCTTCCCACATCTGAAATTTTTTGGATTTTTGCCAATCTGATATGGAAAAATAATCTCTCTCTGATTTCAAGTCACATTTCTATAAGTGAGGTTGAGTATATTCTTATTTTTAAGAGCTATTTATATCCCCTTTTTGATGTTAGTATCTATGATACCTTTTTGACATCTGTTTCAACATCATTTACTTAATAATTCACCTTTCCATATAGATATGCAAAGCTTCATGATTCTCAATTCATGTTTGTTTTGCCATATTAGCCTTAAATTTGTTGTCTTAAAGTACCGAATCTTGGATATATTATTAATTCTTTATTTTTCAAAATAACTGATGCATTTTTAAATTAATTCCTTTCCTCTGCTTTCTTTTGATGTATTTCTGGACTCTCTATTATATATCACTAAAGGTATTCCCAAATCTGTATATTTTTACTGTCATTTAAAAAAAAAGAACTAAGATGTTTAGTTCTTTAATTTCCTTCCTTCCATCCTTTCAGAAAATGAAGGCACTTAAAAAGTTTTTATATTTTCTTCTGAGTACAATGTCACATCGCATGAGTTTTGCTATATAATATTCTCATAGTTATTTTTTAAAAGGACTATAATTGTAGTTTTGATGTCCTCTTTTATTCAAGTGTTATTTAGGGAGTATTTTGAACAAGTTGGCTTTTAAAAGTGCCTTTAAAATTTTTTATTCTTGTTATTAATATCCATTTTTAATTAAATTGAACCTGAGAAGGTAGCCTTTATAATGTCTTCTGCAAATTTAGAATTGTTTTCCTTTAGTCTTTCAAAAGCCAAACAAGAATTAATTTTCAAATATATTATCCTCACATCTTTCTCCTTGTACATCACCAAACGTTACTGTGCTAGAAGTCCTAATTATATATCAAAACACAGAATTGAGGGGGAAATGTGTTAAAAATTTCAATTAAGAAAAGATGTGTTATGGGGATGTAATGTACAGCATGGTGACTACAATACTGTATTGCATATTTGAAGTAGGTGGTATAGTGTCTTGAAATTCTCATCATAAGAAAAAAATTTTTTTATAACTATGTATGGTGACAGATGTTAAGTGGACTTACTGTGGTGATCATTTTGCAATAGAGACAAATATGGAATCACTACACTGCATATCCAAAATTAATATAATGTTATGCTAATTACATCTCAATAAAAAGAAAGAAAAGGAGATGTTACCTGAAACATATCCGTATCTTTATCATGTGTATACTCAACCACCACAGTCTGATTCCTTGACAGAGTGTATGATATACTGTGTTGACCTTTGCAGCTGATAGCCTAATAATAAAAACATAAAAGTTCATTAAAACCTCACTCTACCAGCAAAACCAACAAAAGTCAGCATTTTCATAGAGTCAGAGACTGTCCCTATGCTACGCTCTGAATTGCAGTAAAGCTTATAGTCATAATTCTTGTTTACCCAATATTCTTAGTATGAACAATATTTTAAGTCAAAGTAAAGCTTATTTACTAGATTGCAAAACTTGATTTAATCACATTCCAGGAAAAAAAAAAAGAACTTTCTCCTTATTACCTTAATTCAGTGATAGAATTTTTAGATTAATATGATTCATTTCAAATTTTAAAATTTATTTCATACTACAGTAGGCAAGTCAATAACATCCTGCTATATAGTATTTTTCCTATATAAGATTATAATCACAGTTAAAGAATCAGTGAAAAAAATGTAACTGATCTATAAGGATTTCTATATACCATACTATCCTAGCCAACAATAACCATACTTATCTTCTTGTACATTTTATTTAAATCTTGTATGAGCAGTTGCTTAACCCAGATATTTGTTAAATAACCATAGCTAAGTTAGTTTTATCTTTTCTATTTTTAGACTAAAGCTAATAGTCTTTTTCAAGGAATCTAGAAAATGCATTTTAAATAATACAATATTCTTATTTTAAATAATGCAATTTAAAATAATACAGTATTCTTATTTTCTCCATAATGGTACATTTGAACATATCTTAAGCTGTGATCACATACTTTTAATACTTTCAAATGAACCAGAAGTTTATTTAAATTGTACTCCAAATTATTTTAATTACATTTTATTGATTCCACTTTAACCTAATTTATCTTCATTTCTACTCTTTTACATTAAGTATAAATAACAAAACTTTAATAAACCTTCTATTAAACATTTATTGAATTAATGACATGGCATGAAGACCAAGAAAACATTTGGAAGTAGCTGGACAAATACAGCATGTTAATGAAAATGTACTCTTGAACATTTGTATTTGACTAATGTAACAGCTTAGAGCAAGAAATAGTACAACATCCCAAATCAACTTTGACGTTAGCCTGGTTAATCCCATGGTTATTAAATCATCTGCCCCGAAGAGATTCACAAGGGAACTGATGTGTTGTGGTACATGCTCAAGATAATTTGAAATACTAATTTAGATACATAATATGGTCAGAAATCTAAAAAAGACTTCTTAGACTACTTAACTTCACTAACAAATATAATCTTAAATTTTTACTGGTCTGAGTCAGATAAATTCAATGGTGGTGATGTAATTTTTTGAAAGCCAAATAAATAAAGAACTATTTACAGTTCAAGATAAATGGATGTTTTTTACTTAGGTGGAAAAACTAAGAAAAATAACTTTATTAAACTCAAACATTTTCTTTCTTAGTAAAGCAGATTTTATTCTGGTTATAAAAGTAATACAAAAAGGTAATACAAACTCCTTATTTAAAAAGTCCAACAGTGGAAAAAGCATAAAATCATCTGTACTCACTTCACCAAGAAATCCATGTGTCTAGATATTTCTCTCTGTTGACACAAATATATACACCCACTTTGTAAAAGCAGGATCACTCCAAACATGTTGTTTTATAACCTTATTTTGTACTTAATATATTACAGATATTCTTGATATGTACAATGAGAAAAGGAAGTTGCCAAGTATTAGGATATGTTCATAGAATGACCCATATTTTGTTTAAAACTTCTGTGTGTTTAGATACACAGCAATATGATTTTATTTGTGGTGGGAGAAGAACTAGCAGAGTACAAAACAAACTTTTGACTGCAGGGAATGGAATAGAAGCGGGGTAGGTAGAGGAAACGTCATCATTTTACTTTATATATATCTGCATTATCTATTCTAAAAAGGCATGTATTACTTCAGAAATTAATAAAAGTATACATAACTTTTTATATTAATTAAAATTATGTATGTCATTGTTTTGGGTTCTTCTGCACTATTGCATTGTATGCCTGTTACAGCATTTAAGCAATTGTCTGTTTAATGACTTTGAGGCTGTTTCCGATTTCTGGTATTAAGAGAGTATAGATGGGATAGGCTTGCATATGTTTTCTGCCCTTTCTCATCAGTTCTGAGTATTATCAATTTTTTTTATTAAGGTATCATTGATATACAATCTTATGCTCAGGTTTCACATGAGAAACTCTGTGGTTACTACATTCCCACTATTATCAAGTCCCACCACATATCCCAGACAGTCATGTCCATCAACATAGTAAGATGCCATAGAGTCACGACTTGTCTTCTCTGTGTTATACTGCCTTCTCCGTGCCCTTCTATATTATGTGTGCTAATCATAATGCCCATTAATCCCCTTATCACCCACCCTCCCCAGTCCCTTTCCTTTGGTAACTGTTAGTCCATTCTTGGGTTCTGCGAGTCTGCTGCTGTTTTGTTAATTCAGTTTTGCTTTGTTGTTACACTCCACAAATGAGGGAAATCATATGGTACTTGTCTTTCTCTGCCTGACTTATTTCACTGAGCATAATACCCTCTAGCTCCATCCACACTGTTGCAAATGGTAGGATATGTTTCCTTCTTACGGCTGAATAATATATATTATTCCACTGTGTACCACATCTTCTTCATCCATTCATCTACTAATGGACACTTAGGTTGCTTCCATTTCTTGTCTATTGTACTGGGCTGCTGTATTCTTAGGGTAAATTCCTAGGAGTAGAATTCCTGGGTCAAACAGTATGTCTATTTTTTAGTTTTTTGAGGAACCTCCATACTGCTTTCTGCAATGGTTGAACTAGTTTACATTCCCACCAGCAGTGTAGGAGGATTCCCCTTTCTCCACATCCTCGCCAAAAATTGTTGCTTGTCTTTTGGATGTTGGCCATCCTAACTGGTGTGAGGTGATATCTCATTGTGGTTTTAATTTGCATTTCTTTAATGATTAGCAATGTGGAGCACCTTTTCATATGCCTGTTGGCCATCTGAATTTCTTCTTTGGAGAAGTGTCTGTTCAGATCATTTGTCCATTTTTCTAATTGGATTATTTGCTTTTTGTTTGTTGAGGTATGTGAGCTCTTTATATATTTTGGATGTCAACCCCTTATAGAATATGTCAGTTATGAATATACTCTCCCATACTGTAGGATGATGGTATCCTTTGCTGTACAGAAGCTTTTTAGTTTAATAAAGTCCCAATCATTCATTTTTGCTTGTTTCCCTTGCACAAGGAGATATGTTCATGAAGAAGTTGCTCATGTTTATATTCAAGGGAGTTTTGCCTATGTTTTCTTCTAAGAGTTTTATGGTTTCATGACTTAGATTCAGGTATTTGATCCATTCTAAGTTTATCGTTGTGTATGGAGTTAGATAGTAATCCAGTTTCATTCTCTTACAAAGAGCTGTCCAATTTTGCCAACACCAGCTGTTGAAGAGGCTGTCATTTCCCCATTGTATGTCCATGGCTGCTTTATCATATATTAATTGGCCATATATGTGTGGGTTTATATCTGGACTCTCTATTCTGTTTCATTGGTCTATGGGTCTGTTCTTGTGCCAGTACCTAATTGTCTTGATTACTATGGTTTGTAATAGAGCTTGAAGTCAGGAAGCATAATCCCCCCTGATTTATTCTTCCTTCTCAGAATTGCTTTGGCTATTTGGGGTCTTCATGGCTCCATATGAATTTTAGAAGTCTTTTTTCCAGTTCGTGGAAGAATGCCATTGGTATTTTGATTGGGATTGAATTGAATCTGTAGATTGCTTAAGGCAGGATGGCCATTTTGACAATATTAATTCTTCCTAACCATGAGCATGGGATGTGTTTCCATTTATTGGAATCTTCTTTAACTTCTCTCATGAGTGTCTTGTAGTTTTCAGAGTATAGGTCTTTCACTTCCGTGGTTAAGTTTACTCCTAGGTATTTTATTCTTTTTGATGGAATTGTGAATGGAATTGTTTTCCTGATTTCTCTTCCTGCTAGTTCATCCTTAGTGTATAGGAATACAACAGATTTCTGTGTATTAATTCTGCAGCATGAAACTTTGCTGAATTCAGGTATTACAGTTTTGGAGTGCATTCTTTAGGGGTTATATATAATATCATGTCATCTGCAAACAGTGACAGTTCGACTTCCTTCTTACTAATCTGAATGTCTTTTATTTCTTTGTGTTGTCAGATTGCCATAGCTAGGACCTCCATAAGTATGTAGAATAGAAGCAGGGAGAGTGGGCATCCTTGTCTTGTTCCTGATCTTAGAGCAAAAGCTTTCAGCTTCTTACTGTTAAGTATGATATTGGGTGTGGGTTTGTCATATATGGCCTTTATTATGTTGAGGTACTTGCCCTCTATGCCTATTTTGTTGAGAGTTTTTATCATGAATGGATATTGAATTTTGTTGAATGCTTTTTCAGCATCTATGGAGATGATCATGTGGTTTTTGTCCTTCTTTTTAATGTGGTGGATGTTGTTGGTGGATTTTCCAATGTTGTACCATCTTTGCATCCCTGGGATAAATCCCACTTGATAATGGTGTATGATCCTCCTGATGTATTTTTCACTTCTGTTTGCTAATATTTTTTTTGAGTATTTTTGCATCTATGTTTAACAGGGGTATTGGTCTGTAGTTTTCTTTTTTTGTGGTGTCTCTGCCTGGTTTTGATATTAGAGTGATGCTGGTGGCTTCATATAATGAGTTTGGAAGTATTTCCTCCTCTTCTACTTTTTGGAAAACTTTTAGGAGAATGGGCATTATGTCTTCTCTAAATGTCTAATAAAATTCAGCAGTGAATCCATCTGGTCTGGGGTTTTTGTTCTTCTGTAGTTTTTTGATTACTGATTCAATTTCATTGCTGGTAATTGGTCTGTTTAGATTATCTGTTTCCTCCTGGGTCAGTCTTGGTTGTATTTTTCTAGAAAGTTGTCCATTTCTTCTAGTTTATCCAGTTTGTTAGCATATAGTTTTTCATAGTATTCTCTCATAATTCTTTTTATTTCTGTGATGTCTGTAGTGATTTTTCCTTTCTC